TGGGACGGGGCAACCAAAAAATCAGACTGTCAGAAAACAAAACCATGATGCGGATGTGATTGTCCCTGGAGCTATGTAGTTCATACTTTGTGTGAATCGAATGCAATGTTGTGTGAAAATTTCGATTAGGGCACAAACGAAGAAACATTTTTACTCATACAGTGTGTTTTTAAAAAAAATAATTGGAAAGACAACATAAACACACTTAATAAAAAAAGAAGTCTGTTATCAATATTTTATTTTAGAAATTAACTGTTTTTACTTCTATGGTAACAAAAACAGATGACAATTTTTAAATCTTGGTGCCAATATTCTGCTTTGTGAGCATGCATTGTTTTCTTCTTTCTCCATACAGCTTCCAAGGTTTTTTTTGTGCCATGCTGGGTCAGCTTGTGAGCCACAAGGTCGTTAAAGAAAATATCTCACTTAACTGGCCAGAACCCATTCCTTGGCTCCCCAAGCAGCAGCATACACACAGATAAATGCCAGACTTGATCTGAAACCAGTGGATTTCTACCAGTTGCTTTGTTTGTTTAATTCTGCCACACCTGCATTCAGTTTCTGAGATGGTTTCTGAGTTCATCCACTTCATAATCTGAATGACAAACTATTCAGGCACTAGACCAGAAATTGACTTTTTCAGCCCTGGAGGGTAGTAAAGTGAGATGCAAAACTGACACATCTTGGAACCTATGATTGTAGGGTGCGAAAGAGTTAAAGGCAGGCAATCTGTCTAGTAGGATGTCCTAAATTACACAGTAATCATTTTGGTCCATAAACGCTGAATAAAATGGGCCACACACTAATGGGAGTTATTATAAAAAAAACAAAAACAAAAAAAATTCAATAATTGTTTGTCACAGGAGGTCATTAAAACTGTATCTACATTTTTCTCTTTAAAATATATAAAGATATTTAAAAGGGGTAATCAACAAACATGAAAACAGTGATTAAATGGAATACATTCTCCAGGGCCTAAAAACAAAAAAGCAGTATGTAATGAGAAGAGAGACATTAGAGAACATCGTGACAACTGGAAAGATCAGTGGAAAGAGGGTTACAGGCAGACCAAGAGAGATGATGCTGGATGGGCTGAACGATGGCATGGAGGGATATCATCAAGAGAGCTGTTTCAGGCAACCAAAGATCATAATCTGTGGATGAGTGCCTATGCCAGTTGGCAGGGCACATGATGATGATGACTGGCTATCATTAAGCCCTATGGGGAAAATCAACTCTGCTTTGAAAAAATGTCGTCCTAAGATAACTCCCTATATGCTATTGTTAGTTACTATGTTAATTACCCTTACCTGTTTTAACACTGTGCAAAATACACACAGAATCAACTGGAATTTAATTACACATTTTGAGAACGAGAATAGCTCACAGAAGACAAGGCCAATATATGGGACTGTCACAACACGAAGTGACTAGATTTAGTCTTCTTGTGGCAACAGGGTTAATATGCACAACAGTTTCTACAAAGAACCAACCAGCCAATTTTTTTTCTGAGTGCATGACAGCAGATCTGCTGTAAAGAGCTTTGGGAGTGAGTGAGTCAACAGTTGTGGGGCACAAACAGGTGTGAAGAGAATGGCAGTGACCAGGGGATCAAGCCCAGGGGAAAGGAAAGATGGACCGCAATCAGGCGGGTGTCATCAGAACTGTAACTTGAGCTGGCTACTGCAAATGGAGACAGAGCTACTTCAAGCTGTTTTTTTTTGGTTTTCTTAAAGCCATCAACTGTTTGAACTCGACTAGTAAATTAAGAACAGTGATGGCAGAAATAGGATTTTCACAGTCAATCACAGACATAATGTTAGCTTCATACAGTTAGTCCCATCACAGAACATACACACACAGCATGTGGACAATCCAGATCAATGCTGCCTTGACTTGGTGACAGGTGCCCCTACCACTGGCAACTCAAATATAACAGTGACAGGTTCTCCTGGCACTGGCAACTCAAATATAACAGTGACAGGTTCTCCTGGCACTGGCAACTCAAATATAACAGTGACAGGTTCACCTGGTGCTGGCAACTCAAATATAACAGTGACAGGTTCCCCTACCACTGGCAACTCAAGTATAACAGTGACAGGTTCACCTGGCAACTCCAATTTACCAGTGACAGGTTCACCTGGTGCAGTCAACTCAAATATACCAGTGACAGGTTCCCCTATCACTGGCAACTCAAATATAACAGTAACAGGTTCACCTGGCAACTCCAATATACCAGTGACAGGTTCCCCTGGTGCTGGCAACTCAAATATAACAGTGACTGACAGGTTCACCTGGTACTGGCAACTCAAATATAACAGTGACAGGTTCTCCTGGCACTGGCAACTCAAATATAACAGTGACAGGTTCTCCTGGCACTGGCAACTCAAATATAACAGTGACAGGTTCTCCTGGCACTGGCAACTCAAATATAACAGTGACAGGTTCTCCTGGCACTGGCAACTCAAATATAACTGACAGGTTCTCCTGGCACTGGCAACTCAAATATAACAGTGACAGGTTCTCCTGGCACTGGCAACTCAAATATAACAGTGACAGGTTCTCCTGGCACTGGCAACTCAAATATAACAGTGACAGGTTCACCTGGTGCTGGCAACTCAAATATAACAGTGACAGGTTCACCTGGTGCTGGCAACTCAAATATAACAGTGATAGGTTCACCTGGTGCTGGCAACTCAAATATAACAGTGACATGTTCTCCTGGCACTGGCAACTCAAATATAACAGTGACAGGTTCCCCTCCTGGCACTGGCAACTCAAATATAACAGTGACAGGTTCTGGCAATGGCAACTCCAATATACCAGTGACAGGTTCCCCTGGCACTGGCAACTGAAATATAACAGTGACAGGTTCTCCTGGCACTGGCAACTCAAATATAACAGTGACAGGTTCTCCTGGCACTAGCAACTCAAATATAACAGTGACAGGTTCCCCTGGCACTAGCAACTCAAATATAACAGTGACAGGTTCTCCTGGCACTAGCAACTGAAATATAACAGTGACAGGTTCTCCTGGCACTAGCAACTGAAATATAACAGTGACAGGTGGCACTAGCAACTCATAACTGACAGGTGGCACTAGCAACTCAAATATAACAGTGACAGGTGGCACTGGCACTGGTCAAGTGTTATTAGTGTCCTAGCTCACTTCTCAAATACAGGGGATTCTATTGAAACTAGAATCACTGACAAGTTACCAAATTTGAAAATCACAACTCACTGATCTACCATGCTGGATAGATCTATCCACTATACAAGGAAATATTTACATTTCAAATGTCTTTACATCCTTCAAGCCAGCCTTTGATCAAGAGAAGGGGAAAACTGGAGTACATTATGACAGTGGGGAAAGTTAGGAGGGAAAAAGAGGCAGAGAAAGAAGATGCTGGATACCATGGCATAAAAGAAAATCTCTGACAGAAATGCATGAAAGTACACAAGACAGAAGGTTGTGCATAGACATTGCTACAAACGCCACATATGGCCTATAAGAAGATCACATCCCCGATTGAGGGCCGAATGGTCTATAAAAAATATAAGCCTAGAATTACATACCTGACGCACTAGTGGTATAAGATAAGTAAAGTAAAGTAAAAGACCCCTTTTCACGCCTTCAGGGATATCGGGTATATGGGAAGAGCGTCCCATCTTTTTACAGACCATCGGCACTAGGCGGGTAACGTGGTCAGCATTACGCCGGCCGTCTCTACTTTCCCAGGACTGCCATCCTGGTACCCATTTTAGGCTGGGTCGACCTGCGACGCCAGATACCATGATAACAATCCACGCAGCCAGCAGTGGGTTTCGGTCGCGGTACGTTGGAATTAGGTGCCGGACTTGCAACACCTAAGCCACGGAAGTGGCCTAAGATAGGTTCATGAAAATAAGACTTGTCTGTTTAATAGAATTGACAATGGTAAAGGTGGCAAAAAGATGCAAAAGATTCTCTCTAATAAGAAAAAGAATGTAACCTGTGTTGTTGTATGCACGCGAAACATGGAAAATAAACAGACAAGCTGAAAAACATTTACTTCCGTCAGAGATGTGGTTTCTGAGAAGACTGCAAAGAATATCACAGAAGGATTTTAAAAAAAAATGAAGCAGTCCTTATTGAGACAGATGAAAAAACATTAACTTTTTAAAACAATTTGACGTGGACAGTCAGTATTTTTTTGTTGCACATATTATGAGAAGGATGGACTCAAGAACTTGATGACAACTGGCAAGACTGATAGAAAGAGAGCAAGAGGAAGGCAAACAGATAAATACCTGGATGGTCTGGCCAGATGGATGGGGCGAGACAATAACACTGAACTGACCTGGTGATCATGTGAGATGTCGAAACATGACAGTCTTCGCTTACCTGTACGACACATGATGATGATGATGATATTTATAATAATGTGATTGTGAATAATAATGTGCTCAATTTCTGTGTAGGACATTCTGTGCTGACAACAGGTTCAGATCTCTCAATAGCAGGGTGCATAGTCAAGCCTGAGTATTTTATTATATCAAAGTTTTGTGCAATGTTCGTGAGTCAACATAACATCAACATGTGTTTCTTGCTGTGGCACTAGACATCCAACACTTTACGACTGGTCCAGTGGTGGCTGGAGGTCAACATAACATCAACATGTGTTTCTTGCTGTGGCACTAGACATCCAACACTTCACGACTGGTCCAGTAGTGGCTGGAGGTCAACATAACATCAACATGTGTTTCTTGCTGTGATAATAGACATCCAACACTTCAGGTGGTGGTGGGAGGTCAACATAACAACAACATGTTGTTCCTTGCTGTGGTAATAGACATCCAACACTTCAGGACTGGTCTAGCGGTGGTTGGAGGTCAACATAACATCAACAACATGTATTCCTTGCCGTGGCTGCACTAGACATCCAACACTTCAGGACTGGTCTAGCGGTGGTTGGAGGTCAACACAACATCAACAACATGTGTTCCTTGCTGTGGCAGCACTAGACATCCAACACTTCAGGACTGGTCGGGCGGTGGTGGGAGGTCAACATCCCAGATTTGGCTGGGGATCCTCTAGATGAAGATGAGGATGACGAGGAGGATGCGCCTGAGGTTCTGGTTGATTCTAAGAGAGCTTCAGCCGCTGACTGTAGGTCCCAGCCGGTGGCAGACAACGCCTCCTTGCATCTGTGAACATCGGCCATGCCTAGAGACAGCAGTTTCTTCAGCTGGAGGTACTTGGTAGCCTTGCTGACGTCCCACTGGGTGCCCTCCAGTGCTGTCATACACTCGTCCACCGTTACCTGCCAGTTACAACAGAGGTAAAGCCATAACAAATTAGGGCGTTGACAAACACAAAAGAAATGAGAATCATGTATTTAATCTTTCATGGTGGAATAACGAAGGAATGTGATTGTTAAACTTTATTTTTGTGCTGTTACATGTTGCTGTTAATTCTGTAGTAATGCACATTCTCAAGACCGATTATGGCTAACGGAAGATACATCTTTAAATAAATTAACATCCACATTATGGGGAAACCAAGAAAAGACCCACTACCTCCCTAAGAAGGATGATCTATAAAACAGATGCTGTGGGCGAAAACAACCAGAACTTTCTGCCAGAGTTAACAACTGGTGAAGGTAAAGAAGGGAAAAATGAAATGACATGTGTAGGGATGTGTGAACTGGGGAAGTAAGCTTGAATCCAGCAAGAAAGTACAATTGGGAGGGAGAGTTTGTACAATCAGTGTGCTACTTCAGCAGTCAGCGTCGACACCTGATTCTGTGTGAGACAGAGCATCTATACAGGTAGACACACTGGCTGGTTCTGTGTGAGACAGAGCATCTATACGGGTAGACACACATCTATACAGGTAGACACACATCTATACAGGTAGACAAACTGGCTGGTTCTGTGTGAGACAGAGCATCTATACAGGTAGACACACTGGCTGGTTCTGTGTGAGACAGAGCATCTATACGGGTAGACACACATCTATACAGGTAGACAAACTGGCTGGGTCTGTGTGAGACAGAGCATCTATACAGGTAGACACACTGGCTGGTTCTGTGTGAGACAGAGCATCTATACAGGTAGACACACATCTATACAGGTAGACAAACATCTATACAGGTAGACAAACTGGCTGGTTTTGTGTGAGACAGAGCATCTATACAGGTAGACACACTGGCTGGTTCTGTGTGAGACAGAGCATCTGTACAGGTAGACACACATCTATACAGGTAGACACACTGGCTGATTCTGTGTGAGACAGAGCATCTATACAGGTAGACACACATCTATACAGGTAGACACACATCTATACAGGTAGACACACATCTATACAGGTAGACACACATCTATACAGGTAGACAAACATCTATACAGGTAGACACACATCTATACAGGTAGACACACATCTATACAGGTAGACAAACATCTATACAGGTAGACAAACATCTATACAGTTAGACACACTGGCTGGTTCTGGAACACGTGATGGTGATAAAGTGATGCATGACAAGCTAGAAAATGTAAGGGCCCTTTGGGTCGAGTGAACAGGTGCAGAGGCGCAAAAAAAGTCAAAATGATCTGAAGAGAATGGTGCAGCAAGGAGTGTCCAAGCGGTCTGAGCTCAACACTCCGGACAAGGCGAGACAGATGTTTGACTGTTACTGGTGCCATCAGAATTGAAACTGCACTTGCTGCTGAAGATGGGGATGCATCGCTTATAGGAATGTCCCAAGTTGTCTGGTGGTATCAGTGTCAGGTTATCTGTGGGTATGCTATGATTTCAATTCTTAAATCAGCAATCTGTAGTAATGCACCATAGGAGATTCAGTGATTAGAAAGGATTATCAATCACAGCACTCCAGACAGATCCATAGGTGCTCTGATCTCCTCCTCAAAAACTCCACAAGTGTAAAACGACTGATGACGCCTGTTCTGTGTTGGCTAATTAAACGCCTTGTCCCCTTAGTGAAATATTCTTTTCTTGGCAGCTCCAGGCTGCACCCCCATGTCCATCAGTCTAGACAGGGATATGGAGTCATGTCCTTTGGCGTGCTCCTCGGTACGGTAAGTGCAGCAGGAGATTTAGTGAAAATGTGCAATTTACTTTAACCTCATTATTCAAAAATAGAAGTTTAAAAAAAAAAAAAGTTTAACAGAAACAGACAATTATGATCCTAGTTCGCTTTCAACCTTGCTTGTTTTACAGATATACATTATAGCTTCTGTGTGTGAGCATACAATAGAACTTCTTTGATGGGTGCACATAAACTAGAGCTTCTTTGATGGGTGCACATAAACTAGAGCTTCTTTGATGGTTGCACATAAACTAGAGCTTCTTTGATGGTTGCACATAAACTAGAGCTTCTTTGATGGGTGCACACAGATTAGAGTTTCTCTAAAAAGGCACATAAACAAGACAGCAAACATATTCTGTGAGTATCTTGTATATGAAGGTCAGGAAGGAAAAAACAGAAAAAAGCATCTGTACTTTCAATGCCTCACAAAGAAGAGATTATGGGTTACCTGGTCCGGAAATATCTTGAGTAGAATCTCTATCTCTTCACAGTTCTTTTGCCTGCAATAAATCAACGATTCCATTGACAATCAGTTAGAATCTCTGTACATATACAAGAAAAGATCAATGAGGAGGAACAAACTTGAATTTCAACTGGGTGAGAACTAGGCACACATGTCTGCCCAACATTCTGCCCTTCTGGTCCCACTCCTGTCATAGATCTTTTCATTCATATATCTTTCAATAGGTAAAATAAACATCATAAACAATTATTTAGAAACACTAGAAAGTGCTCTTCATACTTAAATTTCTAAACAATAATAGAGGTTAGTAAAAAAAAACTATAATAAATCTCGGAGAAACAGACCATATGGTCTCAGGGACCCTATTTTGGGGGGAAACAGAAAGACCCACTGACCACAGCCCCCCCCCCCCCCCCCCCAACGAGCATGTCGTAAAAGATTACTCACTAGGATGTTTTCTTTGAATTCAGAGAACCTCTATCTGAGAGATGAGGAACAAACAGTCTGCATACAAATGAGCCAGATATGTAAAATGGATGTGCATGCAAAACAAAAGTGGACAAACAACCAAAACTTTGTGCCGGAGTTAGCAGCCGGAAAACACTAAGAGGAAGAAGAAAGATAGCATTCTGCTAGAGTCTCTGTCAGGGACCGACACTTCACAGTTCAGCTGCTGTATCTGGGCACTGTGACTTTTCTTTAGAGCCAGTTCAGATGCTAGTTGTACAACACAGGAACTGGGCCCAATGGTGACAGAAATGGTTTCTTAAATGAGTCATAGAACATGGGGAAGGAAGGACTGAGGGGAAGGAAGGGCTGAGGGGAATGAGGGGCTGAGGGGAAGGAAAGGCTGAGGGGAAGGAAGGGCTGAGGGGAAGGAAGGGCTGAGGGGAAAGAGGGGCTGAGGGGAAGTAAGGGCTGAGGGGAAAGAGGGGCTGAGGGGAAGGAAGGGCTGAGGGGAAGGAAGGGCTGAGGGGAAAGAGGGGCTGAGGGGAAGGAAGGGCTGAGGGGAAGGAGGGGCTGAGGGGAAGGAGGGGCTGAGGGGAAGGAAGGGCTGAGGGAGAGAACATATGCACTGTACAGCAACACCACTTAATAAATTTACAGCCAGTGAACCAGAAGAAAAAGAAGTAAATTAATTCATTCAAATGTCAATTAGGTTTGTTACGTATCCTTTACAGGACGTTGCAGAACCAACCCCAGCAGATAGACTGGCTGGTTGTGAACCACAAAAAGATGCACGACAAACTAGAAGTTGTCAAGGCCCTTTGGGGGCAAGTGAACAGTGCAGAGGCACAATTAGATCCTCATTTTGAAGAGAATGGTACAAGGGGAAGTGACCCTCAGATCCGGCTGACACTTCAGACTCAGAGCAAAGGCTAGGCGGGCAGGCTGCAATCAGACTACTTCTAGTACTACTTCTGAAGATGAGGACAGAGCGCTTATGGGAATGTCCTAACTGCTGTGAGGTCAGTTTTTGAAACTCAGCTCAATCATGTTACAGAAAGTCATGAATGGTTATACTGAATAAACAATAATCATATAAGTTAGTTAGTTGCGTATCCTTTACAAGGCATTACAGAACCAACCCCAGCATATTTTGGCTGTTGTGGTTTTTCTAGGCAAATGTACGTCCAGTAATTTGCCATTGCTTTCTGGCCGGTCAGCTTCTCGATACTACTGTTGAAACCGGCACAAGACCCGCAGCTGGGATCGAACCCGGCACCACAACGTTACGAAGCGCTTTCGCAACACCTAAGCCACAGTCGCTGACAATCATATAAAGAAACCATAACAATGTCTACAAGACATGGTGATTACAATAGCGTAACTGACTACGTTAATTCCGTACTTGTGTGTAGGGGGGCACCATTTTCAAACACACACACACAAAAACAGACCCACTGTCTCCAAACAAGCATTGCAAACAAGCATTGCAAACAAGCATTGCAAACAAGCATTGCAAACAAGCATGCCATACAATGTTACCAATTACTGGTTTGCTGAAATTCGATGTGTTAGGCCGAAAGGCACAGATATCACAGCCTAGCTGTAAACCTCAAAATAATGTGCCAACAATCCCTTTCAAGAGCAAACACAGAAGAAGTTGACCGTGATCACGAAAGTGTGGCTACATCAACAAGATTCAATGATTATGTTAACAAAGTTATGACTACATTATAAGACTGGTTAATGATCATGCTAACAAAACCATGATCATGTTAAAGAATGATTATGTTAACAGAACTATGACTATGTTAGTAAGACCCATTAATAATTCTAATAATGTTGAATTAAGAATCAACATCATGGCACCTGGGACACTCCATCCCCATCTTCAGCAGCAAGCAAAGAGTTCCAATTCTGATCGTACCAGCAACTGTCAGATTGCACATCCATCTCGCCTTTCCCTCATGTTTCGAGCATCAGCCAGATTTCCCAGTAACTCCCCGCAGCGCCATTCTCCTCAGATCGTAATGATCCATTTGTGCCTCTCCACTGTACACTCACTTCCAAAGAGCCCTCACAGCCTCTAGCTTGTCATTCACTTATCAACCACCAAGTGGTGCAGAACTGGCCAGTCTATCTTCCTGCTTATTTCCCAACACACCGGCATGACCTGGATAAAATATCCAAAGAATACTAACTAACTGGGACCTCTGAAGCGATACTTGCCACTCTGCAGTGAGCATGCCTGTCTCTATCTTTCTTTATATTAATGAAGCTGATTATTATAATGATATAATTAATGATCATGAAAGCCCAGTGCTATAAGCAGATTACTATCTGGTAGGTTAATGTACCTGATTCACAATGCTGAACCTCCAGATCTGAAAAGTTTAACCCATTAATATACTCCTATTAGCGTTTATATAATATGGCAATGTCAAAATAGAAACAGATTAATCGCGAAGTGAAGTCAAATTAAAGAGACGAAACTAAAAAAGTCTAGAAAGGTTAGACTAAAACGTGAGGTTAACACAGAAAGCAAGAATAATCTACAAAATGAGGTTAATGTAGGAAGTGAAATTAATCTAAAAATTGTAGAAACTATTTTTAAAAACAAAAATAAATAAATGTGCCGAAGCGTCAGTAAGTTAGTGGAACTCCAATATTCGTCCAAACCAATTTGACTTTTTTTTGTTGGAAATTCGTCATGTTAGTATATTAAATTCTTGTTTGATATTTGTCTGAAAAGACAATATTCGTCCCTCCTCTGATGTGGCCGGCAAGTTATCAGACTGAGGATTGGTTGAGGAGGGAGGGGGTTTGGGTAGGTTTTATCGAGACATGGCACAGATACATCGCTACAGTTAATGAGTCTATTAATTAATTGAATGACCATGTGTGGACACTTTCCGACAATTTTTAAAAGCAAATGTTGGATAACTTCGTCCAAAAAAAAAAAAAAAAAAAAAAAAAAACGAGTGCTGGTGAAATGTTTGGAAATTCTGATGAATTATCAGGACATGAATCACCACAAGTGACATTACCTGATGTCATAATGCAAGGTGACTCTCCGTCCAAACAACAAATATTGAAAAAATGTTTTTCATCCAAATTAATTTTTTTGATTGTTTTTACGTCACCAGGCTGAGTAAATATTTACCAAAATGATAATGGAATAACAAGTACATGGGTTAATATGTAATGAACATATATTTGCAATGATCGATTTTTGACTGAAAATTGTGTGTGTGCTAAATAAATAGATACCTTTAGCTCATTCCTCCAGGAAAAACTCTCACATTAACTCTCTGAGTCCGAAGGAGCGCATCATACGTTCCTACCTAAAAGCCCAATGAACGCATGATGCGCCGATTTTATTACTTTCTTTACTACCCCCTGAGCCTGTGATGCTAAACCCTCTGGGACTCAAAGAGTTAATCTATTTCTTTATCAGGCTCACAATGGGATTGGATTAATGAAGAATATTAGAGTTCCACTGTAGCTTGGATTATTGTATAAAAAAACAAAAACAAAAACATGTTAACCTGTATCACTTCAAGGTTATGGTTAAATTTGTAAGAAGAAATTTTGCAACAGATCTACAAAACAAGTGGGTTAGCGTTACGTTGTAGCATATGTGGGAGGGACAGCGGGTTTATAGCTGGCGGTCAATTACCTATCTAGGGCAAACTGGCGCAAATCTTCATAGCTGACACTTGAAGTGGCGTTGTAGCTGGCGAACATGAGAGGGGAAACCTCGGAGCTGCTGGGATACTCCAGGCTCGGCGACAGGTCTGGGTTGTGGGTGCCAATTCCACGACTGGGTTGTGTTGCTGCTGCTGATGATGATGATGAAGAAGAAACAAAGTTCCTTTCTGTTCTGACAGTGCTAGGGAACTTGAAAATCTGGGACGCTGTACTTGTTGATGTAGTTTGATGCTGCCTGGACGATGGCAAAGTTTGAGTGTCTTGTCTGCGAGCCGAGAAATTTGTTTTCTCAGCCAAATTGTTGGATGTTGTTTTTGAAGAATCTGATGCATGGTGGGAAGGAGGTAAACAAACAGAATTGTATGTGTGTGTGGTTCCGGCAATTGCAGGCCGTAGGGGACCATTCTGTGTGTGTAGGGTGTGTGTATGTGAGTCGGCACTGTGGCTGTCTGTGCTCCGCCGCATGGCAGGTGGAGGTGGAGGAGGATCAAACTCAGATGAATCCTTTGAGGAGTGGCCAGGGGGAGAAATGGTAGAGGAAACCTGGTATGGAGATATGTCCGGTGTAGACTGAGGGAACGAGACGGAGCTGTAGATGAGGGATGTCTGGGAACCGTCCTTTGCAGAGACTAGAGGATGGAACGGGCTCTGGGAATAGGGATGAGGGTAGGCGGGAGCTTCACCAAAGAAGGCATCATCATCACTGACTGGATGAGAATAATGTGCAAGTCGACAGGAGGAAGAGGAGGAGCTGTGAGAGGGGGAGGTGCAGCAAATGTCCGTGTGATGACCATGGGATGAGGGTGAATTGGTACTGGCTGATCTGCCTCTGAAGGATGAGTGGGCTGAGGGGTCAACTGTGAGAAAGTGAGGTCCACT